CAACAACAAAAGTGGAGGAAGAGAGGAAGACTGCTATGAAATGGATTGGCACAGTGGGTTCAGGTGTAGTACAGATTGTGAGTTTGGTGCGGGATTGGGCAGTGTTTCCTTCTGTTCTGCACAGGGTCAGTATAAGTCATTGATATTGCTCAAACATTTAATTAACTCACCCTTAACATACAGGGTCGCTATGAGTCAGAACCAACTCGCTAGCACTCAACAACAACAACAACAACGTAATGGCTGGGAGTGCAGTTGCCTGTGCAGGGCAGACTGAACGATTTCTCAGGCCTCATGTGGCCGATGGCTCAGACATTTTTCACCCCTGTATACAGGGTCGGTCTGACTCGGAACAGACTTGATGGCACTAACAACAACGTCTTAGGGCCAGCCACATCGCGAGGGCCTCTGGGCTCACCGTCTCCTTCCGTGTGACCTCCAGCTCCCGCCGCGCCTCGTCCACTGACGCACTGTGTTGCTGTTGCTGCTCCTCCAGGTGCCTGTGCAGAGATTCGTTCTCCAGGGCCAGGCGGCTGACCGCCTCACTGGCCAGCACTGCCTGGTTCTGAGCTGCCGTGAGCGCTTGGACAGATGACAGAAGGTGCCTCATCTGACCTGGAGAAAGTCAGCCGTCATTCAGAGGAGGAAACAGGATTCCACTTGAAGCCTCAACATGCTCACAGGCTCTGAGGTGGGCCCGGGGGTTCCTGGGAGAGGGCTGCCACCAGGGGCTCTGTCTGGAAGGTTTGAACAAGTGCTGCTGGTGCTCGAGTCCTCTCCAGGGTCTGGGCCCACAGGGCAACTTTGGACAACCCCACGGGTGCTGACATAACCTTCCTCCACTGCTGCCCACAGCCAGAAGGCACTGAGGCCCCCCAAGGTTGGGGGTTCCCACCTCCAGGAGTAGAGGGCTGGTGGACTGGACAGGGTGTGTGTGGCCACACAACTCTGCTGGGTGGCTGTCTGCCCGCCAGAGCACGGGGCATGGAAGGCGCCACCCCCAATTCCATCCAGACCAATCTGCTCCCAGCCTGACCCCCCTCCCCCCCGAGTGCTGCAGCCCCTGATCCTGCACATGGTCTGCATGGCCAAAGACCCAGAGAAGGCCGGAGACATGGAGCTTCCTGAGGTCCCCAATCCTCCGTCCAGCCAGGGCCACACCACACAGCACTGCAGCCTCAGCAGGGGAAAGAGGTGAGGGAGCAGCAGGAGGCAGCCACGCCCACCTGCTCAGGTCCCCCAACCGCCCAAGGCCCCCCACCTGCTCAAGTGCCACCACTCACCCAGGAAGGCCTGGTTACTGTGCAGGGACCTGCGGCCACCCCAGTGCCTGTCCACCAGGTCCAGGAGAGACTCCAGGAGTGCAGTTTCCAGGGTGGTTGTTCTTGAAGGTGGGGCTGCCGTAGGCTGAGGGAGAGAGCCACAACGCCTCAGGTCAGGGCGCTGGGCACAGGACTCAGCGGGACCCAACACAGATACCTGCCCATCCACGATGCAGCTCACACCCTCACATGCGCGCTGGTGGCTGCATTTCTGATGGTGCCTCATCCCAGGGACCGCATGTAGTCGGGAGCCTTTCCCCCACTGTGCTGTGTTGGTCCACACTTCGTGTATGTGTGAGCCAGGCAGCTCCAGGCTGCTCCGGAGCACATCTGGAGACAGACACATGCTGGGTGGGACACTGGGCGGTCCCGCAGAGATGGCGGCACCACAGCTGGAGGCCAGATGGGGAGGGTGCAGCCTGACAGGTACAGGGTTAAGTACCCGTGCCATGTTGTGTACAGGTGTGAGGTTGTATGCAGGTAAATGGCTGTGCACAGGAGCATGGTTTTGTACAGGTGTAGGTTGTGGACAGGTCTGGGGGTTCGCACAGATGTTGGGTCACACGCAACTGTGGAATTATGTTCAGGTGTGGGGTCGTGCACAGGTTTGGGATCATGCACAGGTGTGGGCTCATGACTAGATGCTGGGTCACACACAGGTGTGGAGTCATGCACAGATGCAGGGTCATGCACAGGTGTGGGAGAGCGTACCTCTCTGGGACAGCCTGCAGTGAAGAGTGCTGCTCTACTCATGGTCACCCCGGGGACGGGCAGCCCACATCCCAGGACAGGTCAGCACAGCGGCATGAGGCCTGGGCACCACCCCAGCCTCAGAGCAGCCCCTTGGTGGCCTTCCTCACTACTCCCACTGGGAGCTGTGGTCAGTGGCCCACATCACATGGCTACTCTGAACCCAGAAGAGGGTGCAGAGGTAAGGCCCTTGAGGATGGAGGTTTGGCTGACGGATGGCAGTCTAGCTGACGGGCTCCTGGGCTTCTCTGTGCCCATCCCGTCTCAAAGTGTCCACTTGAGCCAGCAGAGGGCAGGCCACCTGCTTCTCAGGACACTAGAGGCAAGGACCCTGTCCTGACCAGCTAAGGCCTCTGGAGTACCCTGGCACCTTCCAGGATGCCCCCCTCAGGCTGTGGGACCCTGGCACCTTCCAGGACGCCCCCCTCAGGCTGTGAGACCCTGGCACCTTCCAGGACGCCCCCCTCAGGCTGTGGGACCCTGGCACCTTCCAGGACACCCCCCTCAGGCTGTGGCTGTGGACACTAGGGATCTTGTGTATGGAGACAGCACCGAAGTCTGTGAAAACCCCTTGTCTCCACTGTTGTGCTCCCACATTGCAAAAAGGATCCAATGGGCACCGGTGTGCACCATAACTGCATGTCTAACTACAGGAGACAGCCACAGAAGGGAAGTCACCTGGAGGCTGGCCTCGGTTCTGAAAGTACAAGGAGCACACTAGGAGGTCACGCCCTCGCTCCGCTCCAGCACTGCTCCACGCTCTTGGACGTGACTTGACTCCACGCTGCGGGGCCCAGCTCACCTCGCTGGCAGCGCTGGTACTGCGGGGCTGCGGCTCCTCGGCCTCGGGGGCCTCCGGCTGTGAGGAAGTCCTCTCGCTGGTGCTCTCTGAGCCGTCTGGCCTGGTGAGGCTCTCCTCAGAGCTCGGGGGCCCACAGGCCCCCGCAAAGCAACCTGGGCACTCCTGGTCCAGAGACCCCTGGAACCTCCCATCAGGCAGCCTGTGCTTCCTGTACTTTTCAGAGACAGGCGACCGGTGCCCAGCCTTCTGTGTGGACACACTGGACTTGTGAGAAGACGAAACGGAGTCCTCCCTGTCTGTGGGGTCTGTGGGGCAGGAGACAAGGGGCCTCGTCACATAGCTCCTCGAAGGTTCAAAGATAGTGCTGTGACTTAGAGAACGTGAGTATGTGCATATGTACATGAGTCCACGTGAGTATGAGCACGTTACTCTGTACACATGCACACGAGTCCGCATGAGTGTGCGTACATGTGTGTGTGTGGCTGTGTGCACATGTACACAAATCCACACAAATTACTGTGTTCGTGTGTACACGAATCCATGGGAGTGTGCGCATGTGTGTTACTGTGTGCACATGTACACGAGTCCATGTGGGAGCGAGCATACACGTGTTACTGTGTTCATGTATGTGAGCACACACATTACTGTGTCCACATGTAAATGAGTCCATGTGGGAGTGAGCACACACATTACTGTTTGTGCACATGAGTGCATGTGAGCACACATGTACACAAATCCATGTGAGTGTGCACACATGTGTTACTGTGTATGCATGTACACGAGTCCATGTGGGTGTGAGCGCACACACGTTACTGTGTTCATGTACATGAGTTCATGTGAGCACACATGCTACTGTATGCACATATACACGAGTCCATGTGGTTGTGGGCACATGTGTGTTACTGCATGTACATGAGTCCCCATGGGTGCGAGCACACACCCGTTAGTGTATGAACATGTACACGAGTCCATGTGGGAGTGAGCACACGTGTTAATGTGTTCATGTAAGCATACTTGTTACTGTATGCACAAGCCCATGTGGGTGTGAGCACGTGAGTGTACGTGTGTCTGAGTGTGTGCCCACGTATATGAATCCATGGCAATGTAAGCACATTTGGTGAGCCCGTGTCCATGTGAGTGTGCCATTTGAGCCCATGTAACCATGTGCAGTGTGATTGTGTATGTGTGCATGTGATTGCAGGAGAGCGCATGTGTCTGTGGTGTGAGCATGTGGTGTCAGTGTGCATATGACTGATTGCAGCGTGAGCACATGTGTGTACACGGTGTGAACACATGAGATTGTGCAGTAGGAGCACCTGTGAGCATGTGTGAGTGTGTGGTGTGAGCACTGACAACTTGTAGTGTGAGGGTGCATGTGTGTGCATGGTGGAAGCACATGTGAGTGTGTGGGGTGAGGGTGCACATGCTTGCAGGATCACATGTCACTGTGTGTGAGCGTGTGACAGTGTGTGTGTGTACATGCAGGAGACCCACTGGAGGGGGCAGGACAGAATGGAGGAGTAATGGAGTCTAACAGATGAGCAGACCCCCAGCACCCTCCACGCCGACAGCTGGGCCCACCAGCTGCCTCCCCTCCAGCACGCACCACTCCCAGGCAGCACCGGGGGTGCACCTACACTCAGCACACCCGCCCCCCCGCCCCCCTCCCCAGCCTGGCCGGAACCAAACCTGGAAGGAGTGGATCCCTGCAGGACGGGGCTGTCAAGTCGGTTCTGACTCTGTATAGGGTTTTGAGGCCTGGTGGTAGGTTTGAACTGCTGACCTTATGGCGAGCAGCCCAGTGCCTGTCCTCCAGCGCCACAGCAGGAACGGACTAACTGGTTTTTGACCATATCACACTCCCACCCCGTTTAGTATTTAATTTTCCTATTCTTTGAGTTTTCAGAATCGGAGTCTCTGCATTTAAAGGACAGCATGTGCACATACGTGAGAGAGAGTGTGCATGCGTGTGCACAGAGCGGAAGCTCCGGAGTGTCTGCAGACTATGAAATGAAGACACAGTACAGTATGCATGTCACTGTGATCCACTCTTTCCTAAGACCTTTTAGAGAGCTCCACAGACACACACGGCACAGGGGACAGACAGGCGCCAGTTACCTGGCTGCGGGGGGAAGAGGAAGTGCGCCAGGTAGGTGGAGAGGCCGTTGGGCTGCTCACCGCAGCAGTGGACTTGTGGCTGCTTCTCGGGGAAGCCCCCTTTGAAGGTGCTTTTCCTCCTCTCGGGGCCTTTCTGGATGGAGTCGCCACACTGATGCTGCGCTGACTGTGGACTTAGCACATGCCTCGATTCTGGAGAGTAAGAAAGTTTCTCCAGTTTGAGCTCATTAAAAATCATACACTTCTGATAGGACAGGATATGTACTGGATGTTGTTGTCGGTAAGTGCCGTCAAGTCGGTTCTGGCCCATAGTGACCCTGTAAAGGGTTTCCAAGGAGCTGTTGGTGAGCTTGAACCACCGACCTTGCAGTTCAAACGTATTTGCAGTCTGGCGCATTAGCCCACAGTGCCACACCAGGACTCTGTACCCTTAAATTGGTTAAATAAGAAAACGCTGAATAGATGGTTAGTTTATGGGCACATCTGTCTATACTGATTACGTGAGGAAAAGGAGGCAGACGGTGTAGGGAGGCACAGTGGCCGGCGACATGCAGCTCCCTCATCTTAAAATGAAGCGCACACCTGTCTCCACTAGGACCTTTGGAAAAACAATGCCATGACAGATGCTTTAGTACTTAATGTTTCTGGACAGTCTCTTTGGTAACAAGAAATAAATTTCAAAACGAGGCAAAAAAAGGTAAGAGTTGCCACAGCTTGCACCTTGGGAGCTCCCAACATCAGCTGGTCACCAGAAGGGAGTTCAACCCCAACCCACGGTATGAGGTGAGACAGTCGTGGAGCCTGTGTCCTGCGTGCATGAGGGTGGTCTCAGGTGGGCCCCCCTTACACCACCTCCACCCAG